AGTCCTCAGGGCAAATTAATCATTAAAAAACACTTGCTTTTAAACCATGTTTTATATTTTAAAAGGTAAACTCACCTGAGGTCCCTTCCATGGGGTCATGGTCTTGGGTACTGGCTTGGGAGGGTACTTCAGTCAGGTTGAGAAAAAGATCCTGGCTGTTGGGGCGAACGGAGTGCTGTGTGCTCTCCGCAAGCTCGTCCTCCTCCTCCTCCTCCTCTTCCCCGTCCGCAGAATCCTCAGGTGTGGCTGATGAGATTACCCCCGCCTCGGAATCCACGGTCAGAGGTGGGGTAGTGGTGGCGGCCCCCCCTAGAATTGCATGCAGCTCAGCGTATAAGTGCATGTCTGCGGCTCTGACCCGGAGCGACCATTTGCCTCCTTTGTTTTCTGATAGGCTTGTCTGAGCTCCTTGACTTTCACGCGGCACTGCTCTGAGTCCCTATTGTGGCCTCTCTCCATCATGCCCTTGGAGATTTTTTCAAAAGTTTTGGCATTTCGTCTTTTCGAACGAAGTTCTGCTAGCACCGAATCCTCTCTCCATATAGCGATCAGATCCAGTACCTCCCATACGGTCCATGCTGGTGCTCTTTTTCGATTATCGGCCTGCATGGTTATCTGTGCTGATGAGCTCTCTGTGGTCACCTGTGCTGGGCAAACAGGAAATAAAATTCAAATGTTCGCAGGGCTTTTCCTGTCTACCGGGCCAATGCATCCGAGTTCAGATTGCTGTCCAGAGCGGTCACAATGGTGCACTGTGGGATAGCTCCCGGAGGTCAATACCATCGAATTGCGGCCACACTAACCCTAATTCGAAATGGCAATATCGATTTCGGCGCTACTCCGCTCGTCGGGGAGGAGTACAGAAATCAATTTTAAGAGCCCTTTATTTTGAAATAAATGGCTTCGTTGTGTGGACGGGTGCAGGGTTAATTCGATTTAATGCTGCTAAATTCGAATTAAACTCATAGTGTAGACCAGGACTAAGAAGAGCTGCAGGGCCAGAGTGAGATCAATTCCTTTCTGGAACATTGTGGCTGGCTGCTGCTGAGTTTTTGTCTGCTACTGAGCCATGAAAACAGTACATGTTCTGGGAAGTGAATTGAGTCACTCTCTTAAAAGAGCAATGGGGAGGTATCTTAAATGGGAAAAGTATTTATTAAACTGTTTAAAAGCACCTACTCAAGGTTGTAGGCACTTGTACGTACATTTCTTAAGGCAGAAGGATGGTCTTATGGTTAAGGCACTTGACCACTGGGACTCAGGAAGTTAAGGTTCTGTAGACACAGACTGTAAAATGGGAATAACAATACTTCCCTACCTCCCACAGATATTGTGAGGGCAAATTAATTAATGTTTGTGATGTTCTGTGACACTATTGTGATGGGGCTCATATCATTACATAGAGAGGAAGAAAAACATAAATGGACAAATAACCATATTAGAACATTTAACCATCCTTCTCAAAGTTGACTTCATCTCTCAAAATATAAATGGTCCCTGTCAATCCATCATGAAGAAACCCTATCAAACCACCAATGACCATCTCACCCCACTCCCTCAGAAAAGCTTGGGGGGAAGGTGGGGGGGAAGATGAGCCTTGCAGCATACTGTGACAGTCAATAAATCTGGGCTGTCTCACACCAAGGGGGAAAGAAGGATTAAAAAAAAAAAACCACCCGGGGAAGAGGAGGTTTGTAGGAGCTGTTAAGAGTGAGCGGATGAGACAGCTGGGATGTGGGAGTGAATGGCAGATCCTATAAGCCTTATGTTGGGAGATGCCTGTAAAAGGTGATCTTTAATAGCTCATTGTGGAGAACTTTAAAGACCAATAGGGCCAAGTTAAAGTCAATCGTCTGCTTAATAGATACCCATTATAAAGAACAAAGGGCAGCTGTAGTATGATTGTTATAGCTTGAAGCCTTGAGCAAATGTTCTGCTGAGTTTTGAACAATCTGCAAGCAATGGGGATGCACTGGTGGAAGCCTTTGTAGAAAGGAAAATTGAGGCTTATAATCATAGGGGAGTGTGGGGTTTGACACTTAAGGAAGGGCATCATGTTATAAATAGGGGTATAGCATATGCAACCTGCGCAACTGGAGAAAAAACACAGGTATGATCTTGTGCTGCATCTCTGGAAAGTGCGGTACAAAACTCTCATCCCAAGAGGGGTGAAGGTGCGTCGACTAAGAGGGTTTAAGCCACCTTTTTACCCTTCTGCTTCTAGGTTGCTTCAGGGGCTAAAATGGGATGTAATTTAGGTAGCCCTTAGGTGCCACTTATGTTACAACAGCTCATGCCAAGCTGTCTATGGGCAGCAGCACCCTGTGGAATCATCGTAATGGTGCTGGATCTGGTCCTTTCCCCAGCCCCATATTGGTGCACCCCTATATTGGAGCATGCAGAAGAGGCTTTATAGTTTCTGTGCTGGGGGAATTCTTTTGTGGCCAGACCTAGGCTTTTTATTATACTTGTATGCTGTTGCAGCTGTAGGATCAGGGAAAAATATTCCTCCCTACTTTGTTACCACATCCAACATATGGAAAGGCTGCAATTGAAAGTGATACCACCATTTTAATTAAGCTAATTAACTGACCAAGTTTCCTCAATAAGTGGGAAGACAAAATGAAAGAGAACCTGTTCATAACAAAGACTTCTTCAAGACATTCTTATTGGTAAGTAAGCATGGATCATTAGAGAAAGAAACCAAGGAGAAAGGGTGCTCTGCTGTCAAATCCTTTCCTTCAGTCACAGAAAGTTTGGGGATTTTGAAAGTATATACCCTTGAAAGTTTAGTATTCTTTGTCTTTGTTGAAGGATGTAGCACTTCATAATAAAATATTTAGCACTTAAAGGGATCACCTCTGAAAACCAGCTGTGCCTAAGGCTTTTGAATGCAGTCAATCCTCATAACATGGTGCTAATAGATTATAGACAATACACACCTAGACGCTTCAACAGCAGATTACAGTAGCTTCTTCCATGTCTGTTTTTATTTTCCTTATTTCAAGGTCTGTATTCTTTATCATAGCTGATACATAGCTCTGAATGATTCCTAAGTATGAGTAACAGAGCAGCGAGGATTGTAGACTAACTAGTTCAGAACAGACAGCTAAAATGGATTGACAGTGATTCAATTACTATTAATGAAACTTAATTTCTATAGCATATTTAAGTGCACTACATAATAAAACTATCCCCCAAGGTTTACTGAATTAAGAAATAGGGTCCCTGCGGCATCCTCCAGCCAGTGAGTATGAATGACAGCTCCCTCATGGGAGCCCTAGGTAATTTGAAAAACCAATTCAGTCCACTTCCTGGTCTCTGAGCTTGCGGAGTCTCTCACATACAGCCATGTAGGAGATTTTCTACAATCCTGGAGCTGTATTAACTAAAGCATTCAATGTGGCCACCAGTGGGGGAATTCAAGGGCTTGAGAAATCAAGAACTGTAGGGCTCAAGGAGCAGTCTGCTCATTTGCATGAATTGCTTGCCCACTGGGCAGCTCTGTAACTGTCCAAACCAGGAAGCAGGTATTTTGAGGGGAGAAGCTTGAGCAGACTCACTTTATGATAAGGCCACAAATTATTTTGTTCTGGATCAGGGCTTTATTTATCTTTGGACTATGATTGCACCGTTATAGCCATTCTGATGTATTAATACATGTTTAGTTCAAAATCATTTTCATAGTGGAAAAAGGAGTGGACACTTAAACAGATATCAAGAATATCCAGAGTTATGATTAATGATGCATTTTGTGAAAGAGTTACTAAACTTCATGCTTCAGGGTTAAGCCAATTTCTAGCTATTAGAGAAAAGGATGGGACATAACATGAGGGATAGATTACTCTATATCTGCCTACTGCTGGAGTCATACACGTTCTTCTGAAACAGCTGGTGCTGGCCACTGTCAGACGATACCTACCTGTGGCAGTTCCTGTGTTCCTATAATATATATCATTTAGCCCACAGAGCAGCTAATCAACAATCTATATGAATTTAGTAATTTCTCAAAAATAGATTTTTTTCCCATCACTAGACTATAACAATTTTTAATGAGCTTAGAAGCTTAACATTTGGTCATGTAAATTTTTCATGCATTGATCATGTTAATTTGATCCAGTTTAATTAGTGAATTATTACAAATCCTACATCAAGATTCTGACACTCATGTGGAGTCCCACAAAGTCACGAGGACTCCCTGGTGGCACAGGGCTCTGCATTAGCAGATCCTGATACAGGTTTGCTGCCTAAAGTCAGTGTTTAAAAAATTATAACCTTTTAAAAATGGTTCTTATTCTAAACAGAACTCCAACTTGTAAACAAAATAATGTTGGTCCTGATCTTGCAGTCTGATAAATACAAGTAGAGATTGACATTTACCACAGAGTCCTATTGGAGTCAGTGGGACTGTGCTTGAATGTGGGGCTCTGACTATGCAAATCAGATTCAAGAGTTAGGACGTTGGCCACTTAAATGTTTTCCAGGATACCCAAAGTGTTCCAGTCCACATTATTGATGAATAACCTGTGTTATTTATCCTCACAGACAAACTACAGCAATTCTACTTTTTGTTAATAGTCCCAGAAGGCTGAGGCTTTGTTTTCATAAAGCTAATCTCAGTCTGAAGTGAAATCTTAATAAAACTGGTTTATACTGTTAATGCTGGCTCAAACGCAAGCTTAAATGTAACAGCATAGGCAGGGCCACTAATTTTAATTACTTCAGAAGCGACAACTTTGGGTAGTGAGCACTTCATAATACATAAAAGCCCCAGAGAAACAACAATAGCACATCTTCTGTTGACTGGATTCTGAGATTTTTTTGGTCCCGTTGTGTGGAATATATAAGAGGCATTTGTAGCATTGTATTTTGTATGAAACTAGAATGCTGAGCAAGTGTTGTGCTGAGTAAAATTCTAAGACAAGTCTGAGTAGAAAACCAAAGACTAACTTTTCATTCAAGAGATCTTATCTATGAAATTCACTTAATTTTTTTCTTAGTCCTTCTTGGATTCTGACCCATCAGTTCAATTAAAGCTTGAACAAAAAGAAAATACGATTCAGCACTTTCTTTGGCATAGTCTTGTTGTTTGGGTTTGTGTACACAACAACTCTTCTCGACTAGATGAAGTGCTTCAACATCTTCTGTTCTATAAGGAAGAGCTCCACCAGAAAAACTGGTAAGGATAACTCTATAAATGTGATATAGTTCTTATGGAACCAACATTTGTGCTTAAATGTTAATCACACCTAAATGGCCTATGAAAAAGATTTATAATCTCAGTGCCAAAAGCAGAAGCAATTTATGTACTTTGCATTACTTCATTTTATCAATAAATTGTTCCTACCTTTTTCGCTAGAAGCACATACAGATATTGTACTAGTTTGTCTTTATTAAATTAGTTATTGATAGGAACTTCATTCCAGCATTTTAAGTTGCTTTAATTTTCCAAGTAGTTAAACAGCTGAAATGAAGTGTGCTATCCTTCAGGGAAATATATCAAGCTTCGATTTTTTTTGGGGGGGGGGGGTTTGTTTTTTTTATTCCTTACTTGTGAAGTGTGACCAAAACTAATTTTGAATGATTAAAATTAATTTTGCATGGAAATGATTTCCTGAATGATTCTGTTAATTTAAGCATCAACAGGGAAAGTCAAGCTTTAAATCTGGGCTGTGTTTAGCAGAGCTACAGTATTAAATGAGTGTGTTGTTTTATTTTTATTTTTTAAGAAAATTTTTGAAAAAAAGAAGTATCTGCAAAAGTGATGCAAGGTATATGCTCATTCATAACCAAAAAAATCTAGTCTAAAACATAATAGGAGGTTGCCCTGGGAACCAGATGTAAGCTTCCCTAGAGATTAGGGATGTTCTGTCCCAGGGTATTGGTTTAGCTGTGTAAACTCCAGTGAAATGGGACAGTGAATATAACAGACCTCTCAACAAGCATGATTTTTCCCTTGGTTTTGTTCTTGAGCCTTAGTACATAACTATAATGGAAGAAGCAGAAGAAAGGGTTACCTAAACATAGAGTCTGACAGAGGAAGGCTAACTCAGGCTGTAACCCAGCCCCCTGACAACAGGATGTGAAGCTCTCGTCCTCAGAGCAAGGTGGGGACTGCAGGGGGCCCCTTGTCCTCTTCTTCTCCTTCCCCCTGCTTACAAGATAGCAATTTTTATAGTTTCTCTCATTCTCTCCAAGTGCTTGATTGGATCTTCAGTTTCCAGACTACATTACTCCATTATAGAAAGGAACCAAACAGCAAATGGGTGGCTTTGCCGATGTAGGGTTTGGGCTTGAGCCTATCTCTACACAATAGTCAGACGCTGTATATAATGTAATTATGCTGCTGAGCAAATGGCCACATAATTTACCTTTTCGCCAACATGACACACAAATCTCTGCACAATATAAGACCACAAAAATTATCCTGCCACTTCTAGCTCCTCATCTTGCCCACCCACCCTTTGTCATTAATTTCCATAGCTGTGTTACTTTGTTTGTCAGTGGCTTTGTACACTGTTGTCCTTAAAAGGACAGAGTGGGAAGAAGAGAGAAAAATCTGTCCAATACAGAGGGCAGCACTAAGACTGAAACAGGCCTTCACGGTTACCCTTTCCTCAGATGTAGTTGGAAGTAAGAACTGAAGGTGCCAACCAGAGCACCTAAGCCACAGAGGAAGGCAGCTGTCAGGCAGCTCTTTATCGTATAGAAGTGGAGCTGAGGATACCTAAATGGCAACCACTTCTTCTTGCAAACCTCCTCCATCTTCCTCAAGACAGTTCTTCAGAGCCTCATGCCACTGCATGCTCCCTGTTCTTGGGGACCACTAAGCCCTGCAGGAATGGGACTTCTTTTCTGCAATGCAAGGCAATGACATTCATTTTTATTTTTATTTGGGGTGACTTATTTTTAAGTATTTCAGTAAAACCAAAGATTACCAAATGATTTAGTAATCAGTGAAAATCTCCTTATTTCTAGCTGGTCACCAGATTCAGTGCAACTCTGCCGTATAGATCATGTGGCCTGACTGCACAACTTCAGTCCAATATGCTACTTAGTAGAAAGAGCCTTGATAAGGGGTACTGATAACACTGGGAAGACTCAGAGAAAAGTTGGGCTAGATCTTTGGCCCAGCCCTTTTGTGTTGCTCCAGCTATCACGAGCCAACAAAATAGTCCTCAGAAACTGTTCCTGCCAGTGTAAGTTAGACGCAGCTCTGTGTTGCTCTAATCTTCACGAAGACCGAACCAGCCCCTGGCTGCCCCCAGGATTGGGTTATGGGGTGGAAAAGTGGTGTAAACACCTTTTTCACCCTACCCACTCCAGCTGCACAGAGCTCTCTATGTTTAGAGCATCTTGTTTCTATGGAACTTTTTGGTTCTTTTTATTGCTAAACCTGGCAGATACAATGCAATATAATAGATTAACACAATGTAATACATGCCAGTGAAGTGCGTAAGAATCACCTAGAAACAGTAATTTCCAAAGATGTGTAGCATCAGCATAAAAGTATCAGTGTATAGCGTTGAAGAACTACAAAGTACTTGTGTTATAAATTACTCCTTTTAAAGCCAATAATAAATACAGGCCAAATTCATAGTTTCTAAAATTGAATCTATTAGCCATTTAATCAGTCTCTGTACATAACCTCTGACGGGTGAATTTCACCCTTAAGAGACTTCACTGCCATTTTTTTCTGTTATTTATTATTTGTTTATGATAGTGCCCTATACGTGTGAGGGCTAGGCACTGTCTAGATTTTTAAGAAAGAGCAGTCCATACTCTGAGGCTCATGGTCTAGGGACAGATTAGGGTTATAGATTCCAAGGCTGGAAAGGACCATCGTGATCATCCAGTCTGACCTCCTGTATAACACAGGCCATAGAACTTCCCCAAAATAATTCCTAGAGCATATTTTTTAGAAAAGCATCCAATCTTGATTTTAAAATTGTGAGTGAAGGAGACTCCACTATTACCAGTGGTCAGTTGTTCCAGTGATAATTACACCTTATTTCTAATCTGAATTTGTCTACTTTCAACTTTTTTAAGATTAGTCAGCCAGTTCCACTAGCAGTAGCAATAAAATAGAATGAGTTTTCGTTGAACAGGTGAAAAAAATTGCTTCACAAATATAACTATTTCACTCTCTGCTTTTGGCTGTTTTTTTCATTTTTGGTTTTATTATCTTTTAGTAAGCACTAGTTCCTTAAGGAGAGTGGTTGAGCCTGAGTTGTTGCTTTTTTGTCTGTGAAGTATAATAGCTTAAATTCACTTTACCACAGCAGTAGCTGTAAAGTTTGTGTTTAATGTGAGTGTTACTCTAACCTCAACAGCTCTCCAGTGTTATTTACTGTTCAAAGATTTTGGTCTTAAATCTTTAAGAATTACTGTAAATTAATTCTGCTCTGCAAACACTTAAAATTCTGAAACAAGCCAAGGAGCAAGGATTCTCAACCACTTTCAAAGTGAAGACCACTTCTTAAGAAAGTGATAATGTTGTTGAGTACATTCCCTCCCAGTCATGATCCTGTATCATCTCTACAGCATCTACAGGACTTGGTGAATTTGTACATGTATTTAATAGTTTTAAGATCAAATATGTTTCTTTTTCCAAAGCATGTCTCTAATCTCTAATGTCTCTGCACACTGCCTCTGCCCAGAGCGCTGGCTTCGCAGCCCCCATTGGCCAGGAACCGCAGCCAATGGTAGCTGTGGGGGCAGTGCCTGCAGGTGGAGGCAGCGCACAGAGCTGCCTGGCCCACCTGCCTAGGAGCTGAGCAAGGGGGATGTTGCCGCTTCCGGGGAGCCCCCCCAGGTAAGCACCGCCCAGAGTCTGCCTCACCCCATCCGGTGCCGCAGACCCCTGCCCCCTCCCACACCCAAACACTGCTGCTGCTGGGCCGGGGGGAGGCGGGGGCACAGTGGCCTGAGTCTGTTGCAGCAGCATCCAGTGCGACTGGCACAATGGCTGCCTGAGCTGCTCCTGAGCCAGGGGCACCAACCGCTGCAGAAGTCACGGACTCCGTGACTTCCGTGACCTCTGTGACAAATTCGCAGCCTTAATGAGGGGGTCTAAAATGATTGTTACCACTCAAGAAAGAGATCTTTGAGTCATTGTGGATAGTTCTCTGAAAACATCCACTCAATATGCAGCAGCAGTCAAAAAAGCTAACAATGTTGGAAATCATTAGTAAAGGGATAGATAATAAGACAGAAAATATCCTATTGCCTCTATATAAATCCATGGTATACCCGCGCCTTGAATACTGTGTGCAGGTCTGGTTGTCCATCTCAAAAGAGATACATTAGAATTGGAAAATGTACCAAAAAGGGCAACAAAAATTATTTGGAGCATGGAACAGCTTCCATATGAGGAGAGATTAATAGGATTGGGACTTTTCAGCTTGAAAATGAGACAACTCAGGGAGGATATGATAGAAGTCTATAAAATCGTGACAGCTGTAGAGAAAGTAAATAAGGAAGTGTTATTTACTCCTTCTCATAACACAAGAACTAGGGGTCAGCAAATGAAATTAATAGGCAGCAGATTTAAAACAAACAAAAGGAAGTATTTCTTCACGCAATGCACAACCTGTGGAACTCTTTACCAGAGGATGTTGTGAAGGCCAAGACTATAACAGGGTTCAAAAAATAATTTGATAACTTAATGGAGGATAAGTTCATCAATGGCTATTAGCCAGGATGGGCAGGGATGCAAAACCATGCTCAGAAGTGTCCCTAGCCTCTGTTTGCCAGAAACTGGGAATGGGTGACGGGATGGATCACTTGATGATTACCTGTTCTGTTCATTCCCTCTGAAGCACCTGGCCTTGGCCACTGTTGGAAGACAGGATACTGGGCTAGATGGACCATTGATCCCAGTATGGCCTTTCTTATGCTCTTAAATTGAGAGGATAGCATTCTCTAGGGGTATCCCAGGATCCTTTGCTTCATCTCTGAGCGGCATGCATCCTGTTATTGTTTTTGCTGTGAATTATGGGAAGCTACATGGGTTTACATTTTAAAAAATCCCATAAATCCACTGTCTCCACCCCATGCTTCTTGTTTGTACTGGTTCACACCATTTTCGAATTGCTGTGGGCCAGCATGATCCCAACAATGTTCTGTACTACTATGGTGACAACCGTGACTATGCCCAGGCTGCTTGGGCTGTATTAC